CTCTATTGCTAAACTGCTTGTAATGCTTTTGTCCAATGCATTTTATTTACCTAATATATTTTCAAATGCTTGGTTTCTAAAGGAAACTTCTGTTAGCAAAATGCATTCTACAAGAAGCTAGAAATCATACAAGGCCATCTTCATAGCCTGAACCTAATCTTATCTACTGGAAAGATAGCCAAGGGTTATAGTTTAGGTTTATAAGCCTTTATATAGCATTTCAAAATCCAGGATGGTTTTGTTTTTATCACTTAACTCCTCCATTTGCAGGTAGAAACTATTGTTTTCAGCTAGTCTATATATTGCTTTGCAGATAGGACACAGGCTACTTGAAGGATGCCCTTTTCTGTCAGCTGGGTATCCATTTTGTCTGTTTCTGGGGCATGATTATGTGGAAGATCACTCAGTGACTGTATAACTCTGTCATATTCAAAACTTGTGGATAACAACCACTGCTGCCCTTTGGGTTGAGTTTCTTCAGCCAGAGATGGAGCAGTGTGGAAGGATGTACCAACCTGTGTGGATTTACCCAGTTGCAGAGTTTTTACTGGTCCTGAACAACAGTTTAGAGCTAGACTTCTTCAGCAGAATACATGAAAGAGGAGAGCAAGCCAAAAATGTGCATAAGAATCAGCAGTAGAGATCAGTACATAACATTTGCACCTATGTATTCAACTTCTGGGCTCCTGGAAAAAACTTCTCTCTCATTTAGGATTTTAAGTCTGCTTTATGGGAACTGATTCTAAAACCAAAATTGGCATGGGAATAAAGTTTTGTAAGGCTTTGCTAAAACTCAGAGCACATTGTCAAGCACTTCAGGAGTTTGGTAAGAACACTCCATAAAACAACGTATGCTCCATCCAGATACTGGATGTCAGCTGTGAGCATAGGTGATAAGGGAACACAATTTTGAAATAACTGGAAGAAGAGTTGAAAATGGTTGAGAATTTGTCTTGGGGAAGACACATCTACCAATGTTCCTGTTTAGGTAGCATTCCTCTGAAGATGAGGATCTTCTTAAAGCTTAGCAACACATTTAAAAGTACAAGATTAAACAAGATTAAACCAGCCCCTTGTGGGAATCTTTTTATTTCTGTATTAGAACACAGATTCAACTGCTTAATTCCAAATTTGTATAGAGGAAGCATTGAGCTGCAGAAATTCAAGACTCTTCACAGCATTGTATCTCTTGCTAACTTCCATTTCATGGAAGCACTAAGATGAACATTACAGAAGTAGTTAGTGTAGAAAAAGATTATTTCTAGCCTTCATTTTTGTGCTTTTCATGGATGCAAATTCCATATATCCTGAAAGGCACAGGACTTTTTTACTTTGGATATGTGTAAATCAGTTTAAATAACACCAAAGTTGTATCCATCTGAATCCATGGTTTCTTTCCTGTTTTTCATATGTTACTTTATATCACAGTAATCATATAGAGAATACTGAAGTGGTTTTTGTTAAGAGAGTTTATTTGTTAAGGGACAGATTTTCTAGAAGTATTGGAGTGCCAAAAAATAATGGTCACCTACTGTGATTTTCCAAAATTTATAAGCAATAAATTGAAATCTGTGAGAATGGGGAGTGATCCCTTAAGAGGCTTTTATAAACATTCCTAAAGGTGGGTGTCTGTCCTTGCACATTTGGACCCTCAGCACTGCAACAAAATGGCCCAACCACCGTATCATTCTTCTGTCTGATCTATAATATAGTTTCTTCTTGAATTACTTGTTTGGTTGGTTCACAAGATGCAAATTCAGTGAGTGTCCTTGCTTACATCTCAGGAGAAAGTGTCCTATTGCGCATTTAGTTTATACTGTGAGGACTCTTTATAAGCAAAAACAAAAATTTGTTAATTCTTTTTCTTAGAATACAATCAAACATAGTCAGTGCTGCTTTCACTTAAGTAAAATTTGGTGAAATTATAGTGGCAGTTATATCACAGTGGCACAAAGTAACAGAAGCTGCTTTCTTCAAGTCAGTGTCTTCCATATTTTAAATAAAACTCTGCAAACACTGAGACTAGTTGCCAGCACCTTCCATTCTTCTGTTTAGATATTTAAGTTATCTTTGATCTTGAGGTATTAGACTATTACTTCAGTTTTCCACAGATTAAAATGCTCAGTCTCCAGAGGGAGCTGCCTGTAGCATCCCACTGGGCAAGACACAAAGCCTTATGGACAAGGGGTGACTGCCACCCTCACCCCTTGCAGGTAGCACCTCATTGGCACAAACACCCTTTTTAGCAGCCTTTTATTACTCACAAAGAAAAATGTTGCTTAGTGTGAGTTGGGATGGCAGAGTTGGACTGTTGGTGAACAAGGAGTGCAGGATTATCATTCCAAAAAGCCCCCTGAGGCTTGTATCAAGAGTTATTAGCTACTCATTCAGCCCATGGCATTATTTTGTAGGCTTAACTGGGATTTCAGTGGTATATTGGGTCTTGTATCTGTGTAAGGGTAAATTTTGCCCTCTGTTACCTTATAAATAGCTGTTACAGTTTCTTTTTTACATTATTGTTTAAATCTCTTTCAAAGGTACAGTATCTTAATCCACTGTTGCTTTTTTGTTTCTTCTAATAGAGAATAAATACGTTTGAAAATCCACACATGACTGAAACAAAAGGCAAATAAGCCCCACATGGTTTGTGTTTGGTGAGGAATACCTCATTTTGATGATTTCAGTCATCATTCATTTGAAAAGCAGAAGCTATGATTGTTAAGCCTCATTATTTTCAATGAAGCCTGACAGTTTCAAGGTTAAACAGAAGACAGCTACTTTCATCCCAGTGATATTTCTCTTCAAACATGGGCAGTTCTTCACTAACTTGTTCTGCTCTGGTGTGTAGTGCCATTGCTTGGTCACAGAGTGGTGCACATCCAAACTCAGTCGTAGGACAGTATCTAGGCAGTGACCTCCAACCTGTGTCTCCCCAAAAAGAGCCTCAATTACTGAAGTCATACCTACCCTGCCCCGCCCCTTGTATAAGCCACACAGTATTTCTAAGTATTTCTTTTTAACTGAACAGTGATTTAAATAAGCCATGATCTCAAATTTTACTGTTTTTATGCTGTCTCCCAGAAAAACAATTTGCAGCCCGAACCTTCTGTTGGCCCAAACACTTTGAAATGTTTCTCCAATGCTTTATGTCCATGAAGCACATTAGATAGGGTGCTAGTGTGAGACCTACAGCAATAGTTAAAGTGTCTGAGAAAGCTGCATGCTTCTGAATATACATGGTGCTAAAAGAGAGGACTAACTGCCATTACTTTCTGAACTTGCACATAGACTGACAACTGATTTAACAAGGAAATTTCCCAGTAAGGGAAGGCTGAGGAAACTGTGACCTGTCAGTAACTGAGTTAAAACCCTTAGAACTCAGAAAACATTGATTCTGTGAGAAAACTTTCAGGAACGAATAACTTGTGAAATCCCTGACTTTATGCTTGCATGGACTGATTGCACTGAGTGATGGCTGTCTGGGTGCTGCTTCCATAACGACGAAGAAGTGCAGTAGATGTATGTTACAAAACCGGGAAAACACTGGTCAAGAAGGAAAAGCAACTATTGGAAAACTGAAGGGAGAGGAGTACGTAAGCAGTAGTTTTTCACCTGTGCTCTCTTAGAGTCCCTGTGGAACAGCTAGAACTAGCTGAACTTTCCACATACGTTTCCTGGTGTCTCATGATTACATTTGGGTGGTGAATGCTTAATCTCATTTCAGGAATTAAGTCACCTGGTGAGTACAATGAAAGGTGTAGCTTCATCGTGCTTGGTGGTTCCTGGAAAACAAGAGCGTTAGTCACGACTTGTGGCAATAAATCCATGTTAACTAGTTTACCTGCACTGAAGTTACTAATGCATCCGTGAGATAAAATGTATTTTGCAATTTTGATAAAGCTGTGCTATTTTTATTTCCTATCTGCATTTCTCATTGTGTATCATATATATATATATATTAAAAAAAAAATTGTCTTTTCAGATAAGAAAAAATGTTCAACTTTGTACCAGTGATTACAGCTATTTGAAGCTGCAAGTCTACTTATCTATGATGGAGGTTTTGTGTATAATAATCTGGACATGGTTCTAAAAGTGTTCTACTACACAGAGGATCTGCTTTTACATAGATAGTTGATTTGTCAGAGAGCTTTCATTGAAGGATTCCATAAAATACAGACAAATTGAAGAAACAGTTTGAATCAATCCAGATTACTGGAGGGCTGGAGATAAACACGTGCAGATGGAAAATGCTGAACAAATTTAGTCCTTTCCATTTGCCTACATATTTTAACAAAAGCAGAGAACAAATTAGGCCTGTGAGATTCTGAACATGGTTATAGCCTGTACCTTAAGACTAAGACAGGATTATGCAGCTTTCTGTCCTACTTATTTAGACTGTTAGCTTTACTGTAGTTGTGTCGACACAAGAATCATCCAGGTCACCTTCAAAATATCATCATCCACATCCTCAGAAACTCATCTTGTTGAGTATTTTGAAAAAGTTTTTGACATAAACCACAGGGGGTTTTAGACATAAATTTATAAACGGAACAATAGAAGTATCTGTTGGACAATGGGCAAGATATTTTTTTAAGAGGAAACAAGTTTACATTTAACAAGAGCCATGGACCACTTATATTTTAAAAAGTACAAAAATTGATTGTCCTGCTTGCACCAAAGTGTATACGTGCTGCAGGATTGCTGCACAGTTTTGTGTTAATGCCTTATGGGGACCTCAGATACTACATATACTACAAAAGAAAAGTGAGCTGATATATTTCACTGACTGCAAATGGGTTGGGTTGTAGGTTAAAAAGTTTTCTTTAAGTTGTCTGCATTTTTCCTTAATGTCTGTCTTTTACAGTAGTGCTTTGTTTCTGAGCGTGACCACCACCAGGACAGCTTGGTTCAGTGCAAACACTGTCTCTTTCAGCCAGAACATTCCTAACATTAGCTTCCTTTTTTTTTCTCTCCTCTCCCTCTCCCCTGCCCCCTCTCAGGTTGGAAAGGCTGGTGGACGTCCTGAGGAAGAAGGTTGGAGCAGGGACCATTAGGACCGTGATCTGATTGAAAGCTGTAGTCTAAGGAAGCATTCACATCTGGTGACCAGGCTGCTTCATTCAGCACTGTGTAAACACTAAAGCCTTAACTTAGCAAACAGTTGTTAGAAGTGGGACACTCCAGCGACATTCCAAGCTGAGATAAAATCAAATCATAAATGTTTAACTACTTTGCTGCTGAGTTTTGTGATTTGTTGAAATGTTTCATTGCAAACATGTATTTGTTTTTAAGCAAATGCATTGTGGCACTATGTATTGTGAAAAATTATGTAGATGCTTATTTTAACAGTCTGTCCTCTCAGTATAGTCTTCTGCAAGGCACAGCTTGATCAATTTTTTAAATACTGCAGGCTTCAGGTTCAAAATCCTACAAAGCAGTTTCAAAATTTAAATTCCTTCTTATTTGTGAGACTGCAAACAGTCCAGTATTTGTATCTTAAATATATTAATTGATAAAGTAGCTTGACACTAAAGAAAGATCTCTAGCTACTATACTGGATATTTTTTCCTCCTTACTCATAGCCCATTGAATTGCAGCTAGTGACTTTGGCTACATCAAAGGACAGGATAAATGTATAGCTTTATACAACAGTTGGATAGCTTATGCTAGTACATGGCATTTTCAGAGTACATTAAAAGAAATTTACAGTTAGGTTTCACTACAGGTGCATCTCAATAAATTGCAACATGAAAGCCTTGTGACATTGTACAGTATCTCAGAGACTTGAGGAAGTTTCCTATATTGTTTTCAGGCACTCCTTTGTCCTTTCCTATAAGGAAAAGCTCTCAGATATTCAGAAAGCACCTTATAGATTCAAAATTCTCCTTTTCAATGTTCGTCTTTTCTCAGCCCTTTCCTACAAGACTTTTTGCCTGCTTCTTATAGACCTCTGATTGCTCTGCAGCGCAGGACTACCATCCAGGTTGGGTTTCAGGCCAAATTGCCAGCCCCCTGCTTTTGTTTACTCATGAAGTGCTCTAGGATTTAACTCAAAGGCTGAAAGATAGAATCTTACAGGGAGGGGGAAACCTGAGGGCTGAAGAGGAAAATTTGGGGTAGACAGACATTATAGACCTTATATATAGATATATATGTATAGATACAGGAGAGTTGGACCTAGAGTTATGTTTGTGACTCAACCATCTATCTCCCTGTATGAATGTTCAGGTCAGCACTCATAGGAACCTGCTCAAAAAGGCAACTGTAATCTCTAAGCACCCCAAATTAAGTAATGAATCTCAGGAGCCAGATGGCTTTAAGGTACTCCCAGAGCCAGCCAGCTCAGGCAAGGTGGATGTAGCTCCTAAGGTTTCCACTTGCCTTTCTTGCTTTGTGTTTAATTTGCTACATGGCCTTCTCTCTTAATGCTTGCTTGTAAAGATGTTTTAATAGTGCAGTCTAGCTTGAGAAAATGAAATTTTAGTTTTAAGTAGAGAGAGAGAGATTTTAATGTCTGTTTTTTTCTTTCAAACAATTACATGTTAAACCTTCCTCATCTGCAGACCTAAGCTCCCCCTAGTTTCAAGTGACCAGACCTAGCCCCTTGCAGGAAGATAAGTAGCATCCCTCTAAGCCAAATTTACCCAAGTCAATTCTAGAAACTTCTGAAGTTCTCCTTTTTGACCTTTGGTCAACCCTAAGATAGCCAGTGAGTCTGGAGCCTCTCCCCACACCTATTCAATGGGAAGAAAGCTTAATGTTTCCAGACCAGAGGACTGCCACCCCCAAGGTTCCAACTCCTTCACCATCACCCTTGTGCTGCTGCTCAGCACTTTGGGTGATTCAGCTGCTCCTTGTCCTGTCTTCATTGAGCTTTAGTGCACTAAGTGAATGGCAAGATCTCCTGAGCTCTCAATGCTGCTGAACCATTTCTGCTCTAAGGAAATAGTGAGGAAGGAATAAAGATAAAAATGTAAGGACTACCATAATGTTCTATACCAAAGCCTAAAGACTACCTTTGGCCATAACAAATAGAAGATGCCCAGGAAAGGGTATAAAGTCAGGCCAGCACTAGTGACCATTCTCCCAGCTAGTCCCCCAGCAATTTGTTATGTAGAGGCTTTCTAAGCCAGAGATGTTGTCTTTGTATTTAGCAGCATTTTTTCATGACCAGTTTTTGATTACATTTAAATTTTTAGTATCTACTTGTTCCTGTCATGAGGTGTTACGTAGTTAGTGATGCATTAAGTGAAAAAATATTTCCTTTTCTTTGTTAGAATCATCTCTATTCATTTGCTATCACCTAGTTTTTGTATGAGAGAAATGGTGAGTAACCATTCCTGTTCATATTATTTCCATATCCCTTGTGATTTTACATATTTGGCATCATTTCCCCCTTGTTTCTCTTTTCCAGAGAGAAACCTTAGTCTCTTATAAAGGAGCCATCTCATGTTTTTATTTGGCCTTATCATGCTCATCTGTTTTTTCCAGCTCTGCAGTATTTTTAGTGAGATACAACCAGATTTATGCCTGGTATTCAAGATATGGAAAAAAGTGACTTTGGTTGTTGCCATAATGATGTTATCTGTTTTATTCTCTATGCTATTTGTAATCATTTTTAGCATTAGATTTGCTTTATGACAGATTTTTTATTGGTATTAATATTTCTGTAGTAATAACAACAACTTTAGATCTCATACCTCAGTTGTACCGTTCAGCTCGGAGTTCATCATAAGTTGTATGAAGACCGAACTGTTTTCTGAATGCATAATTTCGCATTTCTGGATGCTGAATGTCATCTGTTGTTTTAGCATACATTCTCTGGTGACCATGAGCTCCTCTTCCATCTCTTCTCACAACTTCTCTTTAATACTCACTGTAGCATAGTATCATCAGTATCTCCACATGGTGATATGAAATACTGCCATCTCCAAATTAAGCGCCTCTTCAAGGTGATTTCTTAGTGAATTTGAACATGGATTCTGGGACAAATATCCCTGTAACTTGAGTTTACTTCTCCTTCACTGTGAAAATGATACATTTATTCTTACATATTGTTTTAATATAAGTTTGAATTACTTTTTTTCATTTTGAAGATCTTCCCTCTTACTCTTCACCATCTTTGGATGAGGAAGATGTTTGCTTTGAAAATGCAAGTTTACTAAATCAGGGCTTGTTCTCCATGCATGAATGTGCTGTTCTTCCTCACCTTCCCCAGGTATTTCTGCCTCCAAGTGAATAATCTTGTGAGTGCAGACTTCATACAACCAGAGTGTTTGACTCCCACCCAATCTCTTGTTTGGAAAAGCAGGATTAGCCAGGCAAAAGCCATCTAGCAGGCATGATGCCAGATAGATCTGGTTGCAGGTAATACTTGTTTCGGTAAAATTAAGTGATAGTTTTCCTTCATAATTTTCCTTTTGACACATTGTACCTAAGGTGAAAAAGTAGTTCCTGACTCTGTCTTATGTCTTGTACAAAGCCACCTGAAATTAGGTGAGCATTTTAGTTAGGGTGTTTTGTCATGAATGACAAATGTAGATAAATGTATTTGAATCATAATTAAAACAGGTGTTGATTTTTAAAATTCAGTTGGAAATGTTTGTGTTCTTTGAAAAGGACCTTGGGAAATTTACTGTGCTGAGAGGTGAAGGTTCAGAAACAGTTGGGTTCTCACTCTTCCTTGCTAACAACCTAGTGTGTGGTCTTTGGCAAATTCCTTAGTGACTGTCATTTACAGTTTGCAGCCCCTGAAGAGGTTCCTGGGCTCTTCCAGACTTTTTCACCCACTAAAGTGAACAGCAAAAGTCACACAGGCCTGGTAATGGAGGCCCAAACTTTAGTGAGCTCAGCTGAACTTCTGTCCCTGTTGAGCCCAGTCTGACTTTTGCCTTTCAGTGTAACAAGGGCAGGAATTCTGCTCCAGTGAGTAGAAATAGACGATAATGATAACATGGGTTAATTGGCTTTTATTGTATGATTTATGCATTGAGAACAGATTCACATCTCCGTAGAGCTCTGAAAGTGAAAAGAAACCTGTCCTTATACAGCAGAAAAATGCAATTGTCACTTCTGTCCTGATATATGAGAGAAGGATGAGATTGCATTCAATTATGTACCAGGAGTAGCAATTCATTTCTCTCCCAATGGAACAACAGTTCATGATGAAAGGTGGCTCACCAAGGTGATGCTTATGATGATGGTTGTAATTACTGGCCAAATTAGGGTCCCTGCTATCTTGAAGAACACAGAGATACTCAGAAACATCCTTCTCCTCTGAGATTTTGTGTCTTTCTCTTGATGATCCTGCGGCACGTTATGCATTGTGAGCCATTTCTGGTATATGCCAGGGTAAAATATGTAAATAGCATCATGTTGGCTCGGGATAAGAGCATTATTAATGCTTTTCAGCACTGTAATTATATTCCTAGTAAGCCTTCTCTAAGCCCTCACTAATTAACAATATTGTGACAAATCAACTTTAACAGAAAAGAACGGTGGACCTTTAGTCTTTTAGTACTATTTTTCATTCAACCCACAGCCCAAAAGTGGTGGCATGGTTTTCTGTACTAGTGTTGGGAAAACTGATATTTGAAAGTTCAGAGACAGCTCAGTCTTGTTAGTGGAGTCCTGTAGCTGAAGTCAGTTTGATTCCTCTTTAAACACATTCACAACAAAATAAAATTCATTAGTTAATCATTAATGGAAGGGAATATTAAAACTGTTTTTATAAATAAACCATCCTTTTGAAACAGTTCAGTGATGTCAATATGTTGTCATGGGCACATTTATTTGTTTATTTATTCCAAATCACTGGACATTTTACAAGACTGACTTTGTATATATTCTTAGCGAGTGATCAAGAGTTGTACTATCTTTAATCCATGTATACAAATGAACTTCCTATCTATTTAGATAGGATTTCTCTGTACCTTTATTTCCTTCATTTAGAATAATTCCATATTAAGGCTTTTAGCTTCGTTTTGTTTTTTCTTTTTAATTTATACCCCAGAATATTTTCCTCCTGTGCAAGAATAAACTGTGAGGCACATGAAAGCACTGACGGGCAGTTTCTCTGATACTGCGCTTGCTGTGATCGCAGCATTACATGGACTGACTCTTGTCACTGTACCATTTCACATCAGGTCTGCAGAAATGGACTTTCTCTGTTTGTTCTTCTCATGCATCGGTAAATAAAATGTATTCACAAGTTCAAAAAATCGAAGTAGTGTTCTCATATTAGGTTGATTATAAGTCAGCTGTTGAGCTTCAGTGTTCTAAACATTTCACTCTTCAGTTTTGTTGGGAGCCCACGTGTTCTGTGAGGCTTTTAAACAAATACTTGAAATGGTTGAAAGATTTACATTGCCAGTGCCTAGCTAAATATATGGTCTTTAGAAAAGACAGGATTTATTTTGGCACCATTTGACAAACTCAAATATTTTAGACATTTGTTAAGTTCAAGCTTGCACATTTGAACTAAAAGTTTGCATTCCAAAATTGCATCTCAGGTTACCTGTCTCTCTCTTTTGTATTTCATAATCCCTTTATTAAAATAGTCTGCAAAAGGAGTTGGGTTTGTAGTGTGGTTTTTTATTGTTAATTGTAAAATATTGTCATTAACAATCCATTTTAAGATAACATGTACCTCGTAAGGCTGTTCAACTAAACATCAGAAATATAAAGCCAGAAGTGTTTTCAGAATTTAGGGCTTCACATTGGTAGCAAGATTTGGTTATAAAATTAATGGAATCCAGGAATAGTGGGAGCAAATCCTGCAGTGCTTTGATCTTATATTACGTACTGTGATGAGTAAGTATTGCAAGACGGGCAGTAAAGAAAATAGGTTGAAAAGATGTATTGAACTGATGAAATAGAATAGCTTGAGGAAAAGGAAAAGCAGTCTTTGACCTGGAGTTGGTTTTCTTTTCCTTCCCTTGGCAGAAAGGATTGGCAAGGGGAATGTTTAGTCTAATTAATAAAAAAAAATAAAAATAAATAAAAATCAGCAACCAAAAGAACCCCATCACTTTTATTTTCTTTCAAGTTTTAACCTGAAACTTGTACTGAAACTGAAAAAAATTGAAAATTTATAAATTGAAATCACCTTGGTTTTTTAAAAACGTGCAAGAACCCCTGTTCAGCAAGTCTTGGAGTGCACTGTTACAGTCGTGCTCGTGCTTTGGCGTGTTGCCCAGCCAGTTGCCAGCTGCAAAGGGTCACACTCCTTTCTGAGAAGCTGTCATCAGGGGCAGTTTGGCATGTTCCCTCCATGGTGATCTTGGGCCAAAGGTCCATGCAGTGCCACATTCACAGAAGTTCATCATAATTTGAATGGCTTCTGAAGGTGATAGAAGCAGGTCCATTGTCATATGGTAAAATAACAATATAATCGATAGAACCGGTCACAACTGTGGCCCTGATAAAACAAGGGTATGATAACCCTTCCAGAATACATTACGTAAATTTTTGATGATTCATACTTACACATGAAAATACACGCTGCATTTCATACATTGAAAAATTTAATGGTTTCCCAAAGAATTCAAAGGATGGAAACTGTTTTATTTGTTCATGCACTAAGTACTAGCAGAACTATTTTCAGAAAAAACTTGTAAGAAAAATCAAAATATTAAGATGATAAAAAATTAAAAGCTACTTTGATACTACTCTAATTCATTGTCTGAAGCCACAGGATTATGTTCATGATTATTTGACCTTCACTGAGGTAGTGCCACTATTGCACAGGTTTTGTGATCAAAGAGGTAAGCTTTTCAAAAATCAGTTTATGAAAAATGAGGCTTCTGGTGTCTAGGCTGATACAGATACCAATTCAGATGTTGAACTCATGCTTAGAAGCAAGATTTCAGATATCTGTAAGTGAAAATCAGCTTTTCAAAAAGTTATCTCATTTCTTCACTTTGATATTTAACTTATTCAGAGAACATACTCAACCCAGATGCAATCTTTGTGAAGGTATACTAGACTAGAAATAGAATAACAAGCGATATGGTCTCCATCAATACGTGCTCATAGCATTAAAATCATCCCGTTTTGTGCTTTAATAGGCCATTTAAAATTATCAGCTTTGCTTCTTGCACTTTATGTAGGAAAAATTTTCTTTCACCTTTAACAGTCTACCAGTGTATGGAAGAACATCAATGTTACAGGTGATGGTTGCTCAACATTAGTGGTAGAATTAAGCAAGAAAGGGAGATGCACAAATAGATAAATATTAGGAATGGGATCAAATGTGGCATTTATTTTATCAGTTTGTTTTCAAATGGCTGTACAGAAAATAACACTTCAAACTATGACTGTGGTATGGCAAACCAGCTCTACTGCTCCACCATATTCTCACTGGTGGGGACACTATCCTCACACAGACCAAAAATGTAGGGCTCCATACCCACGGTACAGGATATGAATATGGAACCATGGGGTTCCAGAACACCATATCAAACATTTTGTTCCTGGAGTTCTGGGCTCAAATCAGCAAACTGAGTAAGATATAGATAAATCACAGCTTTGAGTAGGACTCTTCTTCCCATAAGACAAGGAAGTCACGAATCAGAACATCTGGTGAATCAGAACCAGGAACATCTTTAGCATCTATTGATGCTAAAGCAGCATAACAGAGAAAGTGCAAGGTAGGAAGTAAATTTTCACAGAATCACAGCATATGCTGAGTTGGAAGGAACCCACAAGGATCGTTGAGTCCAACTCCTGGCCCAAGAGTCACACCATGTGCCTGAGAGCATTGTCCAAATGCTTCTTGAACTCTGTCAGGCTTGCTGCTGTGACCACTTCCCTGGGGAGCCTGTTCCACTGCCCAACCACCCTCTGGCTGAAGAACCTTTTTCTAATATCCAAGCTAAACCTCCCCTGACACAACTACAGGCCATTCCCTCAGGTCCTGTCACTGGTCACCACAGAGGAGAGGTCAGTGCCTGCCCCTCCTCTTTCCCTCATGAGGGAGTTGTGGACTGTAATGAGGTCTCCCCTCAGTCTCCCCTCAGTACCCCATTCACTATTACCCTCTGTGCTTGACCTTGAGCCAATGGCTCACCCACCACGTGATGTGTTTTCCAGCTGTGTGATGGACATTTTGTCCAGGATACGGTGAAAGACTGGATCGAAAGCTTTACTGAAATCCCAAAAGATTACATTAACTGGCTTTCCTTGATTAGCTAGGTGGGTTACCTTGTCATACAAGGAAACCAGGTTTGATAAGCAGGATTTTCCTCTCATGAAGCCGTGCTGGCTGTGACCAGTGACTGCATTGTCTTTCAGGTGTTTTTCAATATCTTCCAGAATAATCTTCTCCATAACTTTACCAAGCACTGAAGTGAGACTGACAGGCCTGTAGTTTCCAGAGCCTTTCTTCTTGCCCATCTTGAAAATCAGGACAATGTTTACCAGCTTCCAGTCAGTTGGGACCTCTCTGAATTCCCAAGACCACTCAAAAATCATCAAGAGACATTGTGTGATGACATCAGCTAGCTCTTTGAGGATTCTTGGATGAATCCCATCAGGCCCCATAAATAGGAATAAGATGAAACCCAAATATGCATGAGTGTGGAAGCTTTAC